CATTGTAAAAACATAAAATCTATTTTTCCGAACCGAGCTGCTGGGTCGAAGATATCCCAAGAGGTAAGCTCTGGAGGTCATGACCTCAAACGCTACGCAGAACCTCCTCACAATGAGTTATTAGCTTATATCGCATGTAGGACTACTTGTTATTTCACGAAACACCATGGCTTCCAATTACAATTTTTCACGTTGTAGTGAATTGATCCAAACGGAATCTCAAAGAACATCGCAACGAAATTCTTCAACTAGAGTAACTACATCTTACAACAATCACAACAATTTTATTATTAAGTAATAAAATATTTACAAATTATGACGAATAATATTTCAAGTATGATTTGAAGTTCTCATTACTTTTAGTACGAAAATGACTGTCTTCTGGGTTGCAGGGCCGTGTAGTCTGATAGACGTTTGCCAGTGTTTCAGAGGTCCTTGCTGCTTCCATCATCAGAGCGATTACACAGTTCGTCTCCCTAGTGATATAGGCAGCAAAGAGCTTAGAAACGTTCTTAAGGTTCGAAAAGAATACAGCCCAGAGGACAACTTCGTAATCACTGCCGTGAGAACCTCAACTCTACTTATTCCGCAAATTTAATCTAATTTTAAATTATTCCTTGATAAATATTTTGTAAAAGTAAACCATTAAACTTTCTCATACATTGTTTCTATTTCGATTTGTCAACGATACATATCCCTATATAAAAGGCGAATTTTCAAATAATTTTAAATTTGGGATTATCTTTGATTACACGCATCAAAAAATCCATTAAATATTCAAGCGTTAGTTCTAATTTAAAACAGGCCATCTCATATCGCTTATTATATATTGAAATTTTAATTACAAATTATATAATATTCTATAAAGTTTCAAAAATTAAGCTCATATTATAATAGATAACGAAGGTCTTGCTTAAGTGACCAGAATTACTGACCTTAAAAACACGTAAAAATAAGCGTCTATACTGTAATATTAGTATTTTTACTACTCAATTATGTAATGAGAAATAATATAATATTTCATTTTAATTTATTGAAATTAAAAAAACAGAATATAAATGATTATACTGAAGATAATTCCTTAAGCATCTTCATTCGTTATAAATACGACAGAGTAATAATCAGCGTAGACTAACTGCTGAGTTATGGAGTTTAAATCAGTGCTATTTGATCGAATTTACATTCTTCCATCATAAAATGTGACAGTTCTGACAGCAAATAAGTTTTGCAGAATGTGTACACAAGCAATCGGACTTTTATTGTTCCCGTATTTCCAACTGAACAATTCTAACTTATCCATATACCACATGGCCAAGGAAAGCTGTTTGTCCACAAGAGATGGTATTGTTATAACAGATTGAATTCTGATTTGATAAGAATAACCCGTATTACCGAAGTGTCAGTATGTAGAGATTCCCCACGGGGCAGTCAACTTTATTCGATTTTTTAAATCGTGTATGTCATTTATAATACAGACATAATAAATAATTTATTTTCTTTCAAAATTGTTATCTTATGCTGTTAAAAGTGAGCCAAGAAAGAAACATTTTGCTTAAAGTTTCGCTCATTTTACGAGATATTTACAGGATATATCGTAATTTTTAATCACTAAATTAATAATATAAACAACGGACTGATACGAGAGTTCAAATTAAGAAACAGTAGTCTCATATTTTACTGGATATGAAGCCTCTGAAACTTCGAAATACAGACTAAGACTATAATCACACAACGAATTACAGATGTAATATAGGCTTACATTTCATGTTACAAGTTTTACGCCAACACTGTTGCTGAAACATAAATACACGCTGGCAAACACTGAAAGTAATTTAAATAAGATATTTTGTACTATGTGTTAAACACCCACCCACATAGGCCTAATAATAATACGTTCGTGAAAAATTGCTCGTTAAATGCGTAAGAAATTTGTCAGTTTTTATAATTAGTCTCAACTGTGAAATGCATTAGAAATTAAGATGCTGAGGAATGGACACTTACAGAGTGGTCAAACAGCGTCACCCAGTAAAGTTCAGCAGCAATTAATCAGGAACAACAACAACAAAGCGGGATTCCGTTTGTTTTACATACCTAGAAAATAAAGAAATTCACATAGAATTGCGTAAGCTGTAATCGATAGATTTCTATGAATTAAGATAATTACTAGTTCTTTGTCATAAAAAATGAACGACATTTACTACTTTCAGATGTTTTTAATGCTCTCACAATAACCCTAATATGTTCACTGTGACTTTGTTAACTATATACATAAAAACATATTAAATTTAATTAAGATATATATTTCTGAGGGAATGCAAATTAGTGTGAGTTTTTAAAAAGGTTCAAGTAATATAAATATATTTGTTACAATTTTAAAATTTAGGCCTATATGAAACTTATACAGTCTTAATTAAAATAAAGGAAAAATAACATTTATTTCTGCAATGTGATAAATTTAAGAACAATATAAAGGTGCATATGAAGAAATATTTAACGAGGCCAATAAACCAAATTTTGATGTTACTGGTATAAGTCCTGTTATCGTGTTTAAATATGTATGTTCCAATACAGGAACGTTTTCGTATATATATATATATATATATATATCTGTATGTGTGTCATACGTTTCTTTTCCATCCAATTTCGTATTTTCTCCAAGCTAATAAAATAACTTGAAATAAACTGTTTTTTTCACATCGTTTACCGAATATTTTATTCAGGTTAGAAAAATTTACTTTTTGGAATAAAACACTTTTATCAAAAGTATCCCAGGCCATTCTCCATATCTAGGTTAAATTGCTTGTGAGAAAATTATTACGAAGTATAATGGTAAACTACTGAAAGAATTAGTAAATTTAAAAAATGCATACAGCTGTTTAGAACACCCGGGATAATTATCTGGTTGAATACATTTCGTTACGTGAAACTCCAGAATGAGAAGTACTGTCTTCTCTATGATTTGATTTGCGGCCCAGACCAGAACGAATACACCGATCCTTTCATTTAACTAGCACATAAAAAACTTTGTAATAATCACCACATCCGAATATCTGTACCTCAAATTTTGACTTCCGTTTATATAACACGTACAAATTCAAAAAGTTATGCTCTGTTGCAAAACGAATAATGTTCCTCTTAAAATTCATATTAACTTAGGCATAATTTTACTTCTCTTGATATTCATCGAAAAATATTTAATTAACCGAACAGGATTAGAAGTTTACGCAAGGAAAGTTCTGATACGGCAAATCGTTACATGTCAGTAGTTTCATGAACTCTTACTGTCCATTGGCTCAACATCAGGGAAAATGAACTGAATACACGACTCATTTTTAATATTACTTTCGTCTCGGATTTTGTTTAGTAAAGGGTATAATAGAAGTGATAAAATTGCCTGGAAATGGCTTATAAAAGCAGTGTGACTAGCTTAAAGTTGAAAGTTGTTAAATGGAAATACAACTCTGACAAACACTTCGAAATTGTTTGGCTACGTCTCTTTTCAGACTCAGAGTTCGTTAAAATGTCCATTAGTTCGTAAAATCATTGAGTGAAATTAACTGTAAAACAAATTGCTTTTAAACAACTTACTGCTAAGTTTTTGTTTCACTTATATCTGAAATACCTTAAAATTGCTATTTACATTTAAAATTCATCAATTTTTTCAAAAATTACTAGGCTCAATTTAATACAAATGGGTTTGTATATACATCAATTACTTATAATTACATGTATATTAATTTTGATTGACTGTGTTAAATAATTTTAGTTTGTAAG